CCTCTTTTTGTGTGTTAAACACATTATTATTAATAAAACAAAAACAAAAAAAAAAAATAAATAAACCAAAAACAAAAAACAATTAAGACATTTATAAATTACAAACAAAAACAAAACCAACAAAAGAAAAATCCTTTAAAGCATAACTAACTAAACACTATGGAAGATGTTCAAAATTCCTAGTAGGGGCTAGTAGTTTCTAAGATATGACTGATTTTGGCAAATGATTTACCTCTAAGAAAATAGTGGGTGGGTGGGCGGAACTAATACTTCCTAAGGTACGACTGATTTTGGCAAATCACGTATCCTCTAGGAAAACACAGGGTGGGTGGGCGGGGCTAGTTTCTGGTAAGATAAGAGTGATTTTGGCAAATGATATACCCTCTAAGAAAAAAGAGGGCGGGTGGGCGGGGCTAGTACCTGTTAAGATAAAACTGATTTTGTCAAATGACATATTCTCTAAGAAAATAGAGGCGGGCGGCTGGGGCTAAGTACCTGCTAAGATAAGACTGATTTTAGCAAATGACGTATCCTCTAAGAAATTTAATTAAATTGTTATATTAAGAAAAGACACTAGAGACTCTAAAGCACTTTCAAATTGTTTGCTTTTAGTGTTTTATTTTTTATGAAAAAGTCTTGAGTGCCGCAGTGTTTTTTTTTTTAATTCGGGAAACTCTTGGGTACCCATGGTGTATTATTTTGGAAGCCCATGGGGATTTTTTTTGCGAATTATTCAAAACGATTTTGGGGGACTTTGGTGTTCTGTTTTTGGATAATTTTGACCTCGCCTGTTTTCAGTTAATTTCGAGATCTTTTTTTTTAATTTCAAACAATCTTGAGGTTCTAGGTTAAGAAATAATTTTATTCTATAAAATTTAAATAACATTTATTCGGCAAAATTTTGTGATGGGGTGATTAATTGGGGGGGGGGGGGGGGATAAATATAATAAGAAAGACATGAAAATTAAGAAACAACTACAATTTTCGTCCTGTGCTATTTTCAAATTGTCAATATTCGTCACTCTTCTCGATTGCTCACTGAATCAGGTTGATCTGTTAATAAAAAAATACTACTTACCACCTAAAATCTGCCCGTAAGAAATTTATTAAATTAAGTTTCATTATTGTTAAAAAAATCACTGTATTGTTTGGTTTAAAATATTATCTCAAAAAGTTTTCGTTTCGATTTCCAACTTTTCGACTTTATTCTATGTAAGTGTTTGGGGATTATGGGAACCTGCAGTGCGGAGGCGGAACAGTCTAATGCCTGGCTGCTTGACAATTTTTTTGCGTGCGCTAGTAACTTTCGACAATTACTTCATAGATCTTTCCGTAACACTAAAAAGTATGCAAGTATATTTATAAAATTTATATTTACCTACCAATCAATTAAGAAAAAATATGGCAAAATCCATATTTCTTTGCAAAAATGTACCATTTTAACCATGTTCTAAGTTTTTTGTTGTGAAAAGATGGCTATGTATATTAAGAAAAAAAAAGGTAAAATATTAGCCCCGCCCACCCGCCCTGTCTCTATTCTGATGATTTTTTTTATTACTTGTAAGCTAAGGGAGTGGAGCTTAATTGCAGAATCCTTATTTGTTTACAAAAATTTACCATTTTAATGGTGTTTTAAGTTTCTGAGAAAAAAAATCATTACAATTGTGGTGGGGGGGTTTATATTTTGCTTTTTTTTCTTAATGTACATAGTATTCTTTGAACAATATGATACTTAAAAACATGTTTTTAATCTCTCGTAAAGAAATAAGTATTTTACAGATAAGCTCCGCCTCCTTGGTTCACGACGAATAAAAAAAAATCATCACAATTGAGACAGGGCGGGTGGGCGGGCTTACATTTTGTCTTTTTGTGTGAATATGTGTACATTTCTTTTCACAACATGAAACTTGAAACATGTTTAAAATGGTAAATTTGTATAAGAAAATAGTGATTTTGCAATTAGGCTCCGCCCCATTATTGCAAAATCCGTATTTTCTTGCAAAAATGTACCATTTTAACCATGTTCTAAGTGTCTTGTTGTGAAAAGATGGCTATGTATATTAAGAAAAAAACGTAAAATATAAGCCCCACCCACCCGCCCTATCTCTATTCTGATGATTTTTTTTATTCCTCGTAAGCTAAGGGAGTGGAGCTTAATTGCAAAATCCATATTTGTTTACAAAAATTTACCATTTAAATGGTGTTTTATGTTTCTGAGCAAAAAAAATGATTACAATTGAGGTGGGGTGGGTGGGGAGGTGTTATATTTTGCTTTTTTTTTTCTTAATGTACATAGTATTCTTTGAACAACACGATACTCAAAAACATGTTTTTAATCTCTCGTAAAGAAATAAGTATTTTGCAGATAAGCTCAGCCTCCTTGGTTCACGGTGAATAAAAAAAATCATCACAATTGAGACAGGGCGGGCGGGCGGGCTTACATTTCGCCTTTTTGTTTTAATATGTGTAGACTTCTTTTCACAACATGAAACTTAAAACATGCTTAAAATGGTAAATTTGTGTAAGGAAATACAGATTTTGCAATTAGGCTCCGCCCCATAATTGCAAAATGGATATTTTCTTGCAAAAATGTACCATTTTAACCATGTCTTAAGTTTCTTGTTTTGAAAAGATAGTTATATACACTGCGTTTCAAATAAAATGCACCATCTAGAAGGAGTAGGTGTAGAATGTTGAAATTTGGTGGAGAAGACTATTACATATAGACAAACATTTGATTAAAATTTGAACTAAAGACTACAACTTGTTTAGATAATATACCGGGTGTTATTCGATTTTTATTAATTTTTTGATTATATTTTAAAGACACTTGAGTAAGATTCTTTTGCAATTTGACTTGACATTTGTCATTATTGTGCTTGCAAAAATGCTACGAGTTCGCACACGAGGTAATTTTCAACAGATAACACCTATTGAAAGAGGGCGAATTATTGGGTTGCATGAGGCTGGTTTACCATTTCGGGAAAACACCAGAATACTAGGCCCAACGCATTCTACGATATTAAGAACAAGTCGAGAATGGAACAACGAAGAGCTACAAATGCGTCGCAGGGGTACCGACCGTTTCAGAGTAACCCAAGCACGCGAAGATCATTTGCTAAGAAGAAGTGTTATTCAATACCCTTGGTAACCATAACGATCAGTCTGGGTAGACTGGATGACAGCAATTGGGCACCGAATCCGAGGAGTACCATCTACTAACAAATTCGTTCCTTTGGCTTGAGATCTTATGGTCCAAACTGTAAACTTCCCTTACCACAAGAACACAAAACTACCAGGCTTCGCCGGTACTAAGACATGCAGCAATGGCTGTAATAGTGGAATGTCATAATGTTTAGAAACGAGTCTAGGTTTTGTTTGTGGCACTCTGATGGACGCATACGTGTTCGAAGGCCTCGAGGCCAAAAGTAAAATCTGGAATTTGTACAGAGACGTCATACCGCTCTAACACCTGGAGTAATGATATGGGGTGGTATACACATCTGTTGAAGTACCCCCTTAGTGTTCATTCCAGGCACGCTAAATGCCCGGCGTTACATCGATAACGTGTTAAATCAAATTCTTTTTCCTTACTTTTAGAACCGTCGAAGAACATCTTTTCAACAAGATAATGCGTGGCCTCATGTGGCCATATTAACTTAAAGAGTGTTTAAAGAAAATAACGTCAACTTCTTACCCTGGCCTGCCCGATTACCAGATTTATCAACAATCGAACATGTTTAGGATGTAATGCATAGAAGGCTGCGCAATTTACCACATCCTCCAAAGACTTTGGAAGAATTGCTACAACAAATTCAAAATGCCTGGAATGAGATACCCCGACAGGCAATAGATCATCTCATTTTAACCATGCCTAGAAGAATACAGTCTTGTATTCGCGCACTTGTAATTTTAACACATTATTAACATTTCTTGTGTTAGACATTTTATTTTTTCTTTGAAATTTTAATCAAATGTTTGTCTATATGCAATAGTCTTCTCCACCAAATTTCAGCATTATACGCCTACTCCTTCTAGGTGGTGCATTTTATTTGAAACGCAGTGTATATTAAGAAAAAAAAAAGATAAAATATTAGCCCCGCCCACCCGCCCTGTCTCAATTCTGATGATTTTTTTATTCCTCGTAAGCTAAGGGAGTGGAGCTTAATTGCAAAATCCATATTTCTTTACAAAAATGTACCATTTTAATCGTATTTTAAGTTTCTCAGAAAAAAAGTGATTACAATTGAGATGGGGTGGGTGGGGTTTATATTTTGCTTTTTTTTTTTCTCAATGTGCAAAGTATTCTTTGAACAACACGATGCTCAAAATCATATTTTTAATTTCTTGTAAAGAAATAGGTATTTTGCAGTTAAGGTCCGCCTCTCTGGTTCACGCCGAATAAAAAAAAATCATCACAATAGAGACTGGGCGGGTGGACGGTCTTCCATTTTTTTGTTTTAATGTGTGTAGATTTATTTTCATATCATGAAATTTAAATCATGTTTAAAATGGTAAACTTGTATAAGGAAATATGGCTTTTGCAATTAGTCTCCGCCCCATATTGTAAGTTTCTTGTTGTGAAAAGATGACTATGTATATTAATTCTTTATTAATTTAGTAGTGGATATTATTCACATTCTTTAAAAAAAAATTACGTTAGAATTATACATATTAACAAGACAAAATTTTAAATATCTATTTTTTTTCTTAATAAAAACCTAATAATAATAATCAATAATACTTGGACCATTTTTAGAGCTGCCCCAATTATTCAAACAAAAAGTGGAGATGAGAAAATTAAATATATATATTTTGCGTGACTTAACTTGAGGCATAAGTAATGTAAAAGTGGTTTAATTGTGTGGGTAACACAGTCGAAAACCTCAAGTTGTTCCAGTGTGTATGTGTGCGTTAGAAACTCTTGAAAGTGAGTGATGTGATTTCAGCCAAAACTATCTCAAACACTGTATATAAAATAACATGAAACCAAATTCCAGATCTACCATCACTTGCGATGGTACACCAACCCGACTGAGCAGAGATGGATAGTTAGAATCTTATTCATAGTACCAATATACGCAACGTACTCATGGATCAGTCTTTTGTTCTTCAATTCAGAGAGCTACTACGTATATTTTTTCACCGTCCGCGATTGTTACGAAGGTAAGCCGCCACCACACTCCCCCGACTCCATTCTCACCACCTCTTCTTCCAGCTTTCGTCATATACAATTTCCTATCGCTCTGCTACGAATACCTGGGAGGTGAAGGCAACATCATGTCAGAAATCCGCGGCAAACCGATCCGTTCGAGTTGCCTTTATGGTACCTGTTGTTTGAACGGCAAAACGTACACGATCGGTTTCCTCAGGTTCTGTAAACAGGCGACTTTGCAGTTTTGTCTCGTTAAACCCTTGATGGCTTTCGTGATTATATTCCTGCAAGCGTTCGGACATTACCGCGACGGAGACTGGAGTCCAGACGGAGGCTACATTTACATCACCATTATTTATAACATTTCCGTGTCTCTTGCCCTTTATGGATTGTTCTTGTTTTATTTTGCCACCAGGGATCTTTTGACGCCTTTCGAACCCGTCTTGAAGTTCTGTACAGTCAAATCTGTGATTTTCTTGTCGTTTTGGCAAGGTAAGTCGAAACAGTGTGTTGATTCGATTAGAGAATGAACTCATTTTTAAGCGAAATGAAAATTCTTGGCTTATTCTCTAATCTCGCGACGTGCCATTTACTTATCGCGGCTTACACCAACCATGACTGTTGCAGGTGTTGGCTTAGCCATCTTGGAAAAGGCCAACGTGATCTCGCCCATTATCGACAACAGCGGTACACGAACGTCGGCCGGTACGGTTTCAGCTGGTTATCAGAACTTTTTGATTTGTATTGAAATGTTTTGCGCCGCTATCGCTCTAAGATACGCTTTTCCGTACCGAGTTTATGCCCAGGGATGTGTTACCGATTCGCGTGGACGATCTGTTACAATGCAGAGTATTTCAAGTAGTCTTAAAGTAAGTGAGGAATTTTTGGCTGCGTTGTTGGAATTAACGTGTTCTGTTTAGGAAACTATGAATCCCAAAGATATCATGACGGATGCGATTCACAATTTCCATCCACAGTACCAGCAGTACACGCAGTATAGTTCAGGTAATTTCTTGTTGCTGTTGCATGCTTGGTGTACAATCGACGAAGAATGTGTATGTGTTGTATTTGTGGTGAACGATTTTTACGAGAATTGATAGTATCGGAAGTGTATATTGATCCGAGAAAGGTGAATAATTGTGACGAGTGTTTTAATTGTTTTAATGTTTTCCGTTGAATGCAGCAGATTTTTAGTAGATTATCTAGTTAAAAAAAATAGTTGTTCCTAGTGCATTAAAATTTCGCAAAAGTGGTCAGCGGAATGATATTTAATTTTTTTCTTTGAAAATAGTTCCTTGTTTGAATTATTTAGGTAAACATTGCACAGAGTGGCTAATCTATCATGAATGGTGATAATAATGCAATGGAATCGTATAATTTTGTTGTAAATAAATTTGTTTACTTATTTCGTTACAAACAGGGACTTTAAAAAACCCAATAATTTAAATGTGAAACAGTAGCACATTTTTTACGGTCGTTTTAATAAACTAAACAGTTGAAGTTAAAAATTAGTAATGTGGAAACAAACGTTCAGGGTACTAAGAATACAATTTCCGCGTCGTTTGTTGGTGATGAAAATTTTAGATACCTGACCTCACGACGGTGGACAGAAAATGAAACTTGCACAAGCACTTCTCGCTTTTAAATTTACAACTGTTTACAACTTTAATTCCAATCCCATATAAATAAACAGCAACAAGTTAGTATAGGATGTGTATTGTGGGTTGCTCACCTATTTTTAATAAGAAGCTCTATTACGGTACGAAACCCTTCCAGCATAACAAATGTTACATATATTGAAACCTATATTTCACGAAACTATTACTTAGGACGAGATTTTAAAAAAAATAATGGTACTTATTTGAAATATAGCATATTTGATACAACTAATAACAAAATTTCAAACAGATAAAGACCAAATTGTCCATATTTAATAGAATTTGAAGTCTTCTTAGTGTCTCTGGATAAATTTAAAATGAAAAAATACATGTTTTTCATGATTATTTTTGGTGTCTAATAAATCTATTAACGTCTGAGAATATACAATTTTCTTTATTTCATGTAGTGAATTTTTACGATTAAATTACATGCAAAATATTCGACAAAATGTGTGACGTTGTTTTATTTAAAACCGTAAATATTTATTAAGGTCGTAATTTTTTGACGTCGACGTTGATTGTTTTTGTGTGGTAATGTTTCTAAATATTAAAACAGCTTTTGTTATGTTTTATATGACGTACTGGAAATCCTTAAAAATATTCAGTCGGGAATGACCCCAGAATACTTGCAAATTATAAAAAAAAATTGCAACTCGTTAAAGTAATTTTTTCTCAACTTTATCAATTGACAGAAAATTTTGTCCAATCAATTCATATTTTTCACGTGGTGATAAAGTTGTTTGAAATTTGCATTTGCTTTTGTTGTTGATTTGTTCCACCTAGATAGCACACAGCTGTTTTATATATCTAGTAATATAAATATTAATAACATCAAGACATAACTAGTCCACGTCCAAATTCAGAACACGACAAGGTAAAGTAAGTTGATTCTGATGACGTCACAACCTTGACGTTGCCAAGCATAAATTGCCAAATGTCTGTTTTGTTTGTTATGAATCTGCTTTCAAAACAGAATGAGGTGAAAAATTTCCCTAACTTACGGTGAGCTTATTGTTTAAGTATGCAACCAATGTTACGCTAGCCTACTTGATTTGAAGAAAAACTAAATGTCAACTTGTTTGAATTTATTGTCGTAAAACAAATCAGAAAAAAAGTATGTACTAATTATGTTAAGTGAAGAAAAGTAGTTAAAAATTTGTGACACTATGCAGAAGAAAAAAAAAACGAATGTCTTTATTAAGACTGATTGAACAACTACTTTGCATTTTAGTTAATGTCATTCCACTTACATTGTTACCTTTTACTTAATAGTTAATTTTAAAGGAGCAGAAAAATTATGCAACATAACATACCAAAGATAATTATTTATTATTAAAAAAAAAAAATCGGAACGACAATCTGAATGAATCAATCAGATTCTCAATCCTTCCTGAGACGTCACTAATCCATCAACCTTCCCCCTACACGATCAACCAGATTGACACGTCTCGCAAAGGATCGACAATCTGATTGATCGTATTAGAGTAAAATTGATGGATTAATGAATGTGACTGGAGGTAAAAATCAAACGTTATAAAAGTCAAAAGGTTAAAAAACCCAAAAATTGAGCAATCGAAACATCAAAACATCGAAATTTTTTCAAAACTCATCAAAAAACCAAGATGTCAAGAAATCGAAACATCAAAAAAATGTAAAATCGAAAAATTGAAAAAATTAAAAAATATATAAAATCGAAAAATTGAAAAATCAAGATCAAATATGTAGACATATCGCAATAACTCTAAAATCGAGAAATCGGGAAACCAAGAAATCGAAAAATCTAAAATTCGAAAAAATTTAAAAATTGAAAAATTGAATAATCGAGAAATCCAAACATTAAAAAGTCGAAACATACAAAAATCTGAAATAGTATGAAAATCGAAAAGTCGACAAATCGAAAAATCGGGAAATCGAGAATTTAATTGAAGAATCAACAAACTGAAAATTCGAGAAATTGAGGTTCCAAAACTGAAATGACGAAAAATTAGGAAATCGTAAAATTGATAAATCGCAACATCCAAAAATTGGAAAATCCAATCGCCGATAAGTTGAAAAATTGAAACAGGATAATTCAAAAATCGAAGCATCCAGAAATTTAAACATCAAAGGGTCAAGAAATTGGAACATCGAGAAGTCGAAAAATCGAGAAGTTGAACAATAAAAAAATCAAAGTCTCGATAAATCGAGAAATCGAAAAATGAAAAAAAACAAAAAACTGAAAAATCAAAACATTTTAAAAACGAAAAATTGAAAAACTGAAAAATATAAAACCGAGAAGTATAAAAATTGAAAAATTGAGAAATCGAAACATTAAAAAAACTGAAAAATCGAAATTCAGAAATTCAGAAATCGAGAAATCGAAAAATCTACAATTTGAAAAGTTGAAAAACTAAAACGTCGAAAAATTGAGGTTCCAAAACTGAAATGACGAAAAATTAGGAAATCGAAAAATTGGAAAATTCAGCGGCCGATAAGTCAAAAAATCGAAAAGCCGTTAAATGGAAAAATCGAACCAAGCAAATTCAAACCGAAGCATCTAGGAATTTAAACATCAAAGGATAGACAAATGGAAAAAAATGTAAAATCGAAAAATCGAGAATTTGAACAGTCAAAAAATCGAAGTCTCGATAAATCGAAAAATCGAAAAGTCAAGAAAAAACAAAAAACTGAAAAATCAAAACATTTTAAAACGAAAAATTCAAAAATCGAAAAAACAAAAATTTTAAAAATCGAAAAATGAGATCCCAAAACTGATGACGAAAAATTTGGAAATCGAACAATTGAAAAACGCAACATCGAAAAATTCGAAAATCGAAACATTGAAACATTGGAAAATCCAACAGCCGATAAGTCGAAAAATCGAAAAGCCGTTAAATCGAAAAATTGGAACAAGAAAATTCAAAAACCGAAGTATCGAGAAATTTAAACATCAAAGGATAGAGAAATCGAGAAATTGAAAAATTTTAAAATCGAAAAGTCAAAAAAATCGATAAGTTGAAAAACAGAAATACCGTAACAACTGAAAAATCTAGAAATCGGGAAATCAAGAAATCTAAAAGTCTAAAATTTAAAAAATCGGGCAATCCAAACATTAAAAAATCGGAAAATTAAAAAATCTGAAATATAAAATTCGAAAAACCGAGAAATCGAGAATTTAATTGAAGAGTCAACAAACTGAACAAAATCGAGAAATTGAGATTCCAAAACTGAAATGACGAAAAATTAGGAAATCGAAAAATTGATAAATCGAGAAGTCGAAAAATCAAAAAATTGTAAAATCGAAAAATAATAATAATAAATCGAGGAATTGAACAATAAAACAATCGAACTCTCGATAAATCGGGAAATCGCAAAATCAAAAAAACAAAAAACTAAAAAATCAAAACATTTAAAACACAAAAAATTTAATAACCGAAATCCATATTAAAAAATGCGAAAAATTGAATAATAGAAATGTAAAAAAATGAGAAATACAGAAATTCAGAAATCAAGAAATCGAAAAATCTAAAATTTGAAAAATTAAAACATGGACAAATTGAAAAGTCGACAAATCGAAAAACCGGGAAATCAAGAATTTAATTGAAGAATCGAAATACTGGAAAATCCAGAAATTGAGATTCCAAAATTGAAATTACGAAGAATTAGGAAATCGAAAAATTGAAAAATCGCAACATCGAAAAATTGGAAAATCCAACAGCTGATAAGTCGAAAAATCGAAACAAGAAAATTCAAAAACCCAAGACTCGAGAAATTTAAACATCAAAGGATCAAGAAATCGGAAAATCAAGAAGTTGAACGATCGAAAAATTGTAAAATTGAAAAATCGAGAAATTGAAGAATGAAAAAAATGAAAGTCTCGATAAATCCAGAAATCGAAAAATCAAAAAACAAAAAACTGAAAAATCAAAACATTAAAAAAAATTGAAAAACAGAAAAAACAATTTTAAAAATCGAACAATTGAAAAATAGAAATGTCAAGAAAAATCGAAAAATTAAGATATCGAGAAATCGAAAAATTGAAAAGTCGAAAACTGTGTTATACTTAAAAAAAAAAATTGGTATGAAATGTCAAAGATGGTTTTACAAACGAAGAAGATTACACCATGGGCTGACACACGTGTTTCTGACAAAACAATTGCAATGCCAACAAAATTACTCAAAATTACTATATTTTATTTAAAATTTTCATAGCCAACTGTGTCGACAAAGACTTTGAAATAAAGAATATTATCCGTCTACACGATACACGGACTGTAACAAGGCTGGTCTCGCTGTCTTCTTCGAATTTAGTAATTTTAAATTTTACGGTTGGCGCTCATGTCAAAGTCAAATCTGCCAAAATTTGAAATGTCAGATTTGACATTTTTCAAAAAACGATTTATATTCCTAAATTTCGTAATTGAAAACTCCTATTACAATAAGCTAAAATGAGTGTAAATAAGGCACGTAGGGTTTACCATCGGTTAGAAAGAAATCGGTTGTGGTCAATTACTGTTTAGAAAAAAATTGACCCCTGAATTAATGTACACATATTTTTGATAATGAGATAATATCTTAAGCCTTAATTATAATTGCAAACTTTATGGATGACTGAAATCCTAGTGTAAAACGACCAAATTCTTCTTCAAAAAAATCATTAATATTGAATGGTTAACAGAGCGAAACATTTTTTTTAAATTGTGATTTCTTGTATGTTTTACTTGTTACTTTGTTAACAATTGTTACTGTTCTTACTCTGTCCTGTTTTATCTTGATTTCAACATAATATTAGCCTCAAGTTGCGTTGTAACCTATGAAGTTCACTTTTTGACGTTAGTAACTTTTTCAACTGTATTTTACTACATTTACGAACACAGTCAAAAGAATGAACTAAAATTTTGAGTACACTCAAGAATTTTTGCAGGATTTGACAACTGACAGTGCGGATGTCATGTAAACGGATGATAGATGAAGAAACAACTTGTTGATTTTTATGCAGCACTTGTCAAAATTTAACGAGACACTTTGATTCAAAATTAAAAAAAAAATGGGATGTGTTTTTTGGGTTGTGTGATTTTCTGCTCCTGTTAAAAAATCAACTATAATTTAAAATACATCTTTTCAACGCAAATGTTTTTCATTCTGCTGCATTGGTTTTGTTTATTGTTCGCCCATAAAACAGCGAATAATTCTAACTGGGCATTAAATTCTGTTGTGAATATTGATTCAATAAAAGCGTCAACGGAAAGTCGTAAAAATCACGTAACTACCAAATAATTTTTGCCACGGTGGAGTTCTATATCCCAGATTTATGGGTCATACGCCAGTTTATTTTATGTTTGTTTGATGTTGAATCCATTTTAGTTGTTATGCAAATATGTAAATAAATGTGCTGCATGTAATGAATGCTTTTTACAGAGGTCATCTCGCACCAACCATACGAGAGGCTGTGAAGTTGCTAGCATGTCGCTGCATGACCGCCTTGGTGCTAGACTAGCTATATCATCTCACTGATCTACTACCACCATACACTATTTCATACTCTCAGGGTTCTGCAGATAAAGGGTTTTATCGTTCTAGAAGGAAACCAACGATAATATTCTTTATAACTTTGATGGTATATATTTTCTATACTGTAATGCACAATACCTTGTATATTTTCAAACTACTTACCGAAGAAATAAAACTATAAATTTCTTCATACCTTTACAAGTGTACAATATCGCTAGGTTTGGAGACCCTAGTTCCGTTTTGTTGTTTACGGTAGCGAACAATCAAAATACGTTGTGATATTTTCTAGTAATTATTTTATTTTAGAACTTGAGTAGGATCAAAGTTCTTGCATCTATAACGTACTTAAAATAGTATTAAAATGTATATAATTGTACCTATCACTTAGAGTTGTGTTAATTTAATATTTTATTATTGTACGTATAATTTTTTTATGAAATAAATTGGTTTGGTGTGCATTCGTTGGTTTATTTGCATGCTCGATGGTACTGTACCATCCTGGTGACAAAAGAGTGCTTTTCAGGTGGGAAAAATGGGCGCGGCATGCGGCTGTCCACGTACGATCCGGACGACCCCATGAGCCCCAGCGGCGGGACCGTCCCGCAGTGCTATAACAGTCTAGATAACCCATCTCGACCACCCATCTCCGCAGGACCACGCGTTTCGACAATTTCGCAGAATTATACGGAAAAGACCATGCTGCTGAGCTCCGACGAAGACAACTAATCATACTATCAACTACTAGCGAATTTTTTTGTTCTGACAAGTGAAGATGATATTTTTGTACAATAGAGTAGCTGTTACATTCCTTTGACCGCCACGGATCAGTATATTATTGTTACATGTACTTAAAATACTGCATATAATCGAATTAGTATGTATGTGATGAGCATTTTCTCCACTTTCAACTTGTCTGTATCGTTTCGGTGATTAAGCTGTGCAATGTATTTTAACGACAGAATCAAAAATGTTCTTATTCAGAGTAAATTATTTTTCAGTTTGTTGTTTTATCGTTTTCAATGAGGTTGTTAAATGTTTTATTCCGAAAAATGATAATAAATTATACTGTTGTATGTTTTTCGTTTCATTAAGAGTGAGATTGTAACGAGGCATAGGAATGTTATCCTCGGCTTCGTACTGGTCGGGGGAAAAGGAATTTGTAAGAAAGAGCAGGTGGTTTTTAAAGAGTCTCATGAAAGGTTATTTGTTTAAATAAAGATGAATTACATTCGACGCCACAGTCCCAGTTAATTATAATTAATTAGTTTTACTCTGTAAATTCCTGTGAATAGTTTTGAACTGTTCTTGGTTCTAATACAATTTCACTATAATCATATAAAAGACATGATATGAATTCACTAGTTCCGGTTTAACCTTTGTCTACAGTTCTGGAGGGCTTTATTTAAGTTATTACATATTCACACTTTGTAATTTCTCACTCGAGATTTGTAGGAATTCATTTATGGCGTTTAAACTAATCTTAAACGTTGGCCCATTTTAAGAGATTACCTTGAAAATTTCATAAATTAATGTGATCCTGGCCTCGAAAACGAGAGGGCTTTATTATTTTCTTGCGAGTTTTATGACTTCTTACGATTTAAAATTTGAACATTCATTTTCGTAGTCGCTGCTTTAAAGCGAAGCGTTTCTGAGACCACCTTATTTTTATTTTGACTATTTAATCTGCGCTTGTGTTTATTTCACGTATTTTGTATTTTTGATTTATTCATAAATTAACATCAAAATTTTTGTTGTTTGAAATTCTTGATAGATTGTAATAATGCGTAATTAAATGTTGCTTGCTTTCTTCTTGTAATATTAATAGTTATTCAGCCATTGTAAGTTCTGGAAATACAGGATGTGAAGTTTATTGAAATTAAAAGTACAAGCAAGCAGAACACACGGTTTCTAGTCAAAACTGACGTTTTACGGTCTATTACCACGTTGTTTTGTTAAAATGGGCCATTGAGTATAATATGCGGCAGGTTTTTTGAGCATATAGCTGCACGCCCAAAAAACCTCCCGCTTTACGCCTACAACAAGTGGGGTCGAAATCCTTTTTTTTTAATTCAGTATGTCACGGGTTTTTAAATTTAAAACATACTTGGTTGCCTACGTTATGGAATGATTTTTGTTATTCTTACAAAGATTTGAAACGGGGTTTTGCAGCGGTGTGTTCTTAATTTTATCTCGAAATTTAAATCACAAATTCAGGACACCATAGGCTAACCACGAGCGTTATTATTTTATTCTAAATTATTAATTGAGGGCTCATTTTTTGGAGTGAAAAGAAAGCTGCCATTTTATTCATAACATTAACTGTAAGATTACATACATATTAGTCTCGAGTCAATGAATGATTTTACTCCATAATTTTCAGCATCAGATGCGATTTGGATGAAACTTTTTTTAAATGTTTAATTTAGTACATATAAATTTTTCAACTTCGATTTTTCGATTTTTCACTTGTGTTTTCGATTTTTCTATTCTTCATTTTTTCGATTTCTCAATTTTTCAATTTGTTTAAAATGGTAATTTTTTGTAGGGAAATAGGGATTTTGCAACTACGCTCCACCCCTCGGTCTGATAACGAATGAAAAATTCGTCACAAAAGGGACTGGGGCGGGCGGGTGGGGCTTATTTTTTTACTTTTTTACTTCCTGAGCGTAAACAAAGGAAGTATTATAATCGAGTCCGTCGGCCGACTCTCTACTTTTACATTTTCTCGACCTTTCATGACTCCTAGAAGACGAAGAAATAGATCTCCCGTTTCCGTCTGTCTGTCCGTCCCGAATTTTTATTAGACGGATAATCTCCGAAAGTACAGGACCCATTGTCGTGAAATTTTGTATTTATATTAGGAATATCATAGAGATGATAAAACGCTAACCAAAATTTGCCTAATCGTCCCCAGCAATAATGTGATGACGTCACTTCAAAAATTGTACATAGTAAATGGTTTTAAATTGTATAAAATAGCACAGTCCTACACATGTAGTTTATGACTCCGAATTCAGTTTTTACCCAAAACGTCCAGATTTTTTGAAAAAAAAAATCAAAACTGAAACAACGTTTTGCAATTTAAATTGGAATCTGCAAAATCGAATGCTTTGAAATCTTGCAGTTGATTTACAGTTATACATGATAAGGATGATAAATTTTTATTCAAAATATATTTACTTGTCCCCTCCAAAAAATTGATGACGTCACCTCAAAAGTTTGCCGAATAAATCGTATCTAAAATGTAGAAAATATGATGAGTCTGTACTTGTGATTTGTCATCCCATTCATATTTTTTGGATTTGCATATACAGGGTGACTCAAAAAAACCGAATATGATGAGTCTGTACTTGTGATTTATTTTTTAAATTTGGTTAACAGGTCGCTCAAAAAAATTATGAATGAGTCAATTTATTTTATTGATTAAATCAGGAATAGTTCACTCCATTTTTCCGAAAATTTGGAGATACAACATTGTTATTATTAGTATTACATTGCACCAACCCAATTTGATAGACACAAAATTTTGTAAAGTAAAGGCCTGTTTGAAACATAGGCGTAGCACGCTTATTTACATTTATTTTAACATTACAGACGTGCATTGTTTTGTTGCGCTGACTAGGTTCCCTGAATGTGGTATAGACAAGTTATAATCAACCAATTGTGAATTACACCATCAAAAATTAGAATAAAATCCAATGTTTTATATAATAAGCGGAAGTCGAAGCAATAAAAAAAGTCTGGGCGACCATCGGTATTGTTTGCAGTTTCTCGTTTGACTCTGACGTGTACAATCTCAACAAGTGTTACCGCTTGGTGTCTTAAATTAAGGATGCTTATACATAAATGATTTTGAGTTGCCTCTGCTAATGCACACGGCAAACTGTTTCGTTATTTTATTGATTACAAATCAGTATTCAAGACGACCCAATTCATTTTCCTGAAAATTTTGGAATACAGTACTTTTATTTTTAGTATTACACTACTTCTATCCAAACTGATATACGTGTCCTTGCAAAAATGTTGATGACGTCATCGCAAATTTTTTTTTAATTGCCCGGCTGCAAAAATGTAATTAAAAAAAAAAATAATAGGCATGTTTCCGACAGCGAGGGAAGTTCTGTCTAAACCCTTTAGATCAATTTTTTTCTTAAGATTTACAGGAATGTAATTAAGCTCCATCCCTCGGCTCACGACGAATAAAAAAAGCATCATACTTGACATAGAACGGGTGGGCTAGGCTTATATTTTGCTTTTTTTTGCTGAAAATACGTAGTTTTTTTCACAATAAGATATTTAATACCTATTTAAAATGGTAAATTTTTGTAGAGAAATATCGATTTTACAATTAAGCGCCACCCTCGGTCGGACAACAAATGAACAATTCATTACAATTGAGATTGGGGCGGGTGGGAGGGGCTTATTTTAATTTTTTTTTCCTAACATATATTATTTTCTTTCGACAACATGATGCTTACAATGTTTTACGTGGTAATTCCTTGTAGAGAAATAAACATTTTGCAATTAAACTCCGCCCCTCGATTCACGACGAATAAAAAAGTCATCACAATTGAGACGAGGGCGGGTGGGCAGGGTTTGTATTTTGCCTTTTTTTCTTAATATTTATATGAACGTAGGTTTCTATCCGCGACAAGAAACTGAAAACAAATCATAAGCACCGTCCACCTACCCTGTCTCAGTTGTGGCGATTTTTCTTTGTTCGTCGTGAGTAAGTGCTGAGCTTAATTGCAAAATTCTTATTTTTCTACGAAAAATTACCATGTGAAATATGGTCTTAAGTAATTATGTTGTTCAAAGAAAATAAATGTATTAAGTGAAAAAGAAAGCTAAAAATTAAGCTCCACCTATGTCTCGATCTCGATTGTGATGAATTTTTCATTCGTTCTCGTTCGAAAGGCTGAGCGTAACTGCAAAATTCATATTTCCCCATAAAAATGCACCATTTTAAACAAGTTTTAAGGATTTTGTTGTAAAAAAAAAGACGGGAACAAATTAAATGTACAGTTTTATTTTTGAACGCTCTGGATTTTTGTTTGGTAAAAATGATAATTGCTTAATTATATAATAAATGCTCAGTAAAAAAATAAATTCTTAGTAAAAATAATACATGCTTGGTGAAATAATAGCTGCTCAGTTACAGCTATTAATATACCTAGGATGTAAAGACTGATATAACCGCCGCAGTCGTTTAAGACGGCTTAAGGCGGTTATGGTTAAATCCGTAGTGTCTACAAGATTTTATGGGTTTCTACCCATTTAATCCAATAATTAAAAAATTAATCAAAAAATAATAGTTATTTGTATTACAAGTAAAGAAAAAACACTTTCCTTTACGTCTAATACACAACGTTTTTTCGGACACTCAATTAGAATTAGAATTTTTAAAGCGAAGTACATATAAAAATTTAAAAAACGAAAAACACGAAAACCAAATCGCTCTTTTGGATCTCGATGGCAATAAAATTGCTTGAAGCTGTTGCAACTTTAGTACCATCAAAATCCCTAGAAAAATATGAGAAGACCTATAATATTTTCGATTCTTGGAGGACCTCGAAGAAAGTGAGAAATATTGACGAAGAAGTTATCCTTGCTTTTTTCCATGAAAAGGTTAGTTTTGCCAAATACATTCATTTAATGTTCTATAAGTGTTCCTATTTTTATGCCTACAGGTTGAAAAGTTGAAATTTTCCACACTGGTCAACATACTCCATGTTAAAAAGCACGCTGAGGGTAAAAGAAAACATGGCGGTCGACCACAACAGCGGAAGGATATATAGAAGAAAGTATAAATTATTTATTATACTGCATAATAAATAATAAACTAAAAACTTCACAAATGATTTTTGATCAGACATCTTGGTCATCAGCTAGCAAATGCCAGGGTTCACGAAATACCATCATATTGTCCGCTGAATTACAACTCGTTCCTGCTTGTCATTCGTCACCTTCTGAAGTTCATCAATCATTACTAGCCTTTAATGGTTCAAATTGTTCAAGTATTACATTTTCTAATCTTAACAATTGTAGTTTTAATATTTATTCAAATAAATAATAATTGGATTTGTCATCTTGTTGCTATATAAAGAAAAGTGTTGCTATAATAAAGAAAAATGTTTTTTTTTTAGGATTTGGTATAAAGAAATCTAGTCAATTTCCATGGAGTGTTCGAAAAATAAATTTGGTTAATCACGTTTGCATGATATATTTCGGTGTAACTATTGTTGTTTATTCAAAAAAACATTGTGAACAGAATTAGAAAATTGATGGATTTAGGCGACGTATTACCCGAAAATGTTAAAAATGGGGCGAGTCAAGCATTAAACATTTTAAATAAAACCGGTAAATTAAATTAACACAACAATCCTTTTTTTTTAATTTTTTGTTTTGTTTTTATTCTTATCTCGAAATTTAAATCTCAAATTCAGGGCACCATGGGCTAACCACCAGTGTTATTATTATATTCTAAATTATTAATTGAGGTAATTTTTTGGAGTGAAAAGAAAGCTATGATTTGAGAGAGTAAACAGGAGTGGGGGGGGGGGGTGAGATAAATCACTCTGATAAGAAAAACAAGCACTTTATTAAAATTTCGATGAGTACAGCAAATAAACAACATAGAAAATATATATTTTTAAATGCATGGCCTAATGAAAGACTTCTTAAGTTTTACGAATAAGTCACAAAGAAAAGTAGTTGTTTAGTAAAGAGTGCGCAATTCTACATATTATAATTGCTCGTTTGTGCCGAAAAGACTCTTGCTCCCTTCATAATATTGCTGTAGAAGTTACAGTGTAGTAGTAGAGGTCTATCACAGTGGTATCAACGAATAACGATACCCGTATGACAATAACATGTGGGAGTACAAACGGGGACTGGACATGAACAGTGCAAATACAAATACATCATGAACGAACAAAGAATGGCTAAAATTTAAATAGTAGAAAATCAGTCTCATGTACAAGCCCTTCTATGTGTTCCTCTTGAACCAGGTCAGCTTGAATTTTGGGTGAATCCCTCGGGGAACCATTTTGAATGTCATGGACGACATATTTACATTTATTACAGTATAACATTTTACGCGTTCGTCGAAAAATCGAAGCAACGGTGTCGACGTAACTAATCCAAGTTTGCTTCGGTTGTTCGACCAACGTTCGATGGAACAAACAAACAAGAACGAAACAATGTGCAACATTTAACAACAACGCGTTTTGAGCATTAAATGAATATATACCCATTATAAATTCGATAAATGCTTTACATTTCAACAAGCTTCGAGATTTCTCCACTTTTAAAATATTGCGTTCATAAGTTAAAAATTACATTTATGATTGTTCGATGTTTTAGAATATATTATTAATTTATTCGTTTTTTGTTTCTTCGTTATTTACCTATCAGTACATTGTGTTTTAATAAAAATTATTTTAAAGTACGATTATTGAAAACACTTATTTTAATCGGAATGACCGTTTCCTGTTATCACGATCCGTTTCCAGGATTTCTCTTCTTGTTGGGGAAGTAACAGTTCACCACGTTTGTACCTCGCTCGTTTTGTTTTGCATTTTTGACCGCTGCTGGGTAATTTTCCTATGCTACTGCTTTTTCGGATTTCTATCTTGGGGCCTTTCGATTGCTGGAGGAGAGGGGATGTCGCCCGTGGAGACTCGTCGTCGCCGCCACTGTCCAAGCTATCCGACGGACTGATGGTGCGCTCTCTTCGTTTCAGGCTCAGTTCCAACCTTCGCAGAAATCTGGAAGTTAGTAAGTGAAAAAACTTATGATTACAATTTTCGAAACCGTCTCTTTTGCTCTATTCTTCTTTCTATTTCACTAAACTATCAACGAAACTACATTCCTAGGCGGTCGGGATTTGAACCTAACACTAAACTTTACTCACCTAATCTGATGACTGATCGCTCTCAAGCGACTAATCTTTTGATGTTTCGCCACCTCAGCCGGCTTTGGCAACATCGCAGTATTAACATCCTGTAACACACAACAATCAGTCTCTCCCTTCACCCACCCCAATACGTACATCGTATTCCCCTTCATGCATTTTTTGTTGGCACTTGTCATCCAACCAATCGATAGGCGAAGACCACCTAATAGTGTCAGGACTAGGACTCGAACTCGACATCTTAACCTCTCGACACGAATTTAAACTATCCGAACTAGAACTCGAACTAACTACTTGCGAACGCGTTACCCTGCGCTTAGGACTAAGCTTCCTCGGCGGGGGCACCTTGAAATAATTGTCTTTACACGGAACATCTAGGTGGTTGTGCGGCGAAAGTGGATTGGTCGGTTTTGTGGGACTCGGGGTTTTGCAGTTCCTCAGCAGCTTCTTCTCTCGTTTCCTGCTGGTTTTCTTGTGTTGGGTGCTCGTCATCACATTTACTTTATCCGTACTAGGGAAGTCGTAGAGGCCATCAGAGTCTGTGAAAGGGAGCAAGTCTTTGTGTCTTCCGTAGAACTGAGGGGAGAACCTCCCGATGCCGCTGCGGTCACTCAAAGGGCTTTCACTGCGCGAACTCATCGGGCTCAAGAGTTTTTCGCAGCCGGAAGGGTCGCACTGAACCACGATGGAAGGGAGCTGGAGGGTTTTCATTCCACATGGTGGCGGCAAAAGCCGCTCCATCGTATCCTCCAAACTCTTCGCTTTCACAGGAACCATAGGTATCTCTAAAAGAGTCTTGTTTTCACCTTCACTGACCATGAACACTTCTAGTTCTTTCGCACTCTTTAGGTCACCCTCTTCGATTTTTTCATCTATGTGATCCGTCCCGATTCCTTCGTCATTCGATTCTAGAAGAGGATCGTCGGATAGCGTTTCCGAATCAGACCTCCCCCTTCTTTGATCCTGCTGGTTTTTAATCTCTCCTTTCTCGTTCCCGCTTGTGTTGGCCTTCAAAACCGGCGAAGGTCTCCTGTGTGACGTGCCTGATCCGGGAGGCCCTTGATCCTCCATTTCCGAAGGACACAACGGATTACTCGACCCACATCTCGACGGTCCTGGACTGGCCATCGAACTATATCCAGATGAACTCAAGTTGGATTCTGATGCGTTGTGGTCTCCTCGGGCCCCCATGGGAAAAGGACTCAAGTAGGTCATCCCTCCCGTCGCCCCTCCAAGATGAGCCGCAGCTTTGTTCGCGGGTGATATGGATTCGGCGTCTGATTCGGCTTCGCTCATGTTACAAGTGATGGTTATCATGGGGGGTGCGCACGGGAGGTCCAACGAGTTGGGCTTGTCGAGGTCCTTGTAGAGTTTGCGGGTTAGTTTCGGCGGGGGAAACTGGAAAGAGGGCTCCTGCAGGTGCGATTTTTGGGGAGGGGGAGAACCTGGAAAGCCGGGTGTACCTGAGAAGAGGATGGACGGGGGTTTGGAATGAGTAGGCGAAGGGGTTTGGATTGTCAGCATGGGGATGACGAGGGGGTGAGCTTGCGACGAGCAGGACGATGAGGCGGAGGTTTGGCCGAGAGGTGGTGGGCGAGCCTGGAACACAAAATTAGTTGTGTTGAAATAATAACGATGATTGTTACCTTCGCTCGCATCCCGGCACTGTTCTGCTGCATGGCCGCCGCCTCCTCCAGGATGAACCCATCCTCCGCTTGGGGATCGATCGCGATGTCCTGCGTGCACGGCACGTCGTCGTCGTCGTCCCCGTCGCTAATCGAAATATTCGGCAGCTCCACCGAGATCCTGTCGTCGCTCATCTCCGCATCCTCCACGGAAGAAAGAGTGGTCCGTCGCATGATGGGCGTGAGCGCCGGCGACGGCATCGGCGAGGGTAACGGCGTAGGCATCTCCCTAATGGGCGAAAGGCACTTATTGATTGTGCTCGGTATCTCTAAGAGTATCGTGGGCGGATGCAGCAGATTACTGCCGCAACTCGACGACTTGTGTGCGCTCAGTGGATCCAGAACCGGCACCTCGATGGTGCTCTGGTGGTGCATGATGGGGCTCTCCGGTGCCCCGCTCGAGAACGACACCGGCGACGTGGACGACTCGTCGTCGCCCGCAATATCATCCTGCGGAGACGACGCCGTAGGCGTCGTCGACGGCGACACTTTCAGCGACGGCGGCAAATTCACCCCCGCCGAGCTCGTCGAGAAGTTCCGGAACATCGCCAGGATAGAATCGGCACTAGCTGGCTTCTGCCTCCCCGCGAAGCGATTACCCTGCCCCGCTCTCACCTGGCCCGACCTCAGCAAGTCGGACACGCTCGAGCTCAGCGCGCTGGGAATCGCGAGGTCTGAGCTCGTGAACGAGTCGCTACCTTGGTTGCTTGAGGTACTATTAGGCGAGCGCGCATCCACGTTCGGGGACGGCGGCGTGCTCGAGGGCCGCGCCGCCGCCCCCGCGAACACGCACCCGAGCCGGCCGCTTTGCATGATACCCAACTCCATCTCCGAGCCCGAGCTCATCTCCGCGGATACTTTGTTCAGCAATCGGGCGAAAGTCACTTTCTTCTCGAGCTTGGGGTCGCTGAGGGCGGTCTGGAGGCTGTCTCCGCCGAATTTCGTCTCCTTCGTGGCTTCGGCGTCCGTGCCATCGGTTTTCTGCTCGTTTTCTTTCAGTTTGCGCTCGCTCATCTGCATTAGCTCGCCGAGGCTCACTTTGCGGGAGAGCTGCTTGTTGTTGGGGGAGATGAGTTGTTGGAGGATCTGCTTCTTCTCGGCGGCGTTTTTCTTAGTGGGGGTGGAGTTGTTGCGTTTCTTTTTTGGAGAAGGTGTGCCTGGAAGGTACGCGGAGATTGTTATTGAGGTGTGGTTGAGAGTGGGGACGTCACACAAGCCACATACTATTGTATGGAGGTTACGGGGGTAACCGTTTTAGAGGATAAGGCGAAAATGTTGCTGGTCTGATCTAGCGGTGGATAAATTTTAACTTTGCGGTGAAGGTTTGACTAGAGTGCTGTGAAATTCTGGTTAGGAAGGTAGGGAAAGTGAATACAAGGTGTGCTCAATTATATAATAATTATCTCTTTCATTGTAATTAATTTAATAACAATTAAAATGTTAAAAAGTGCATGCATGATTATGATTTCCATGAAAGCATAATTTCACTAGTCGATATCTGAAAAATTTCCCAATCCGATTGGTTCAAATATTTGAAATGCGATTTTCAAGTAAATTTTCCGTGGGAGTGAAAATTTAGACATTCTTAAACTAAAGGAAGCTAAGTGTGAAACACAATGCTGTAGAACTGTGTAGAACTACTAATGAAAATCTTGGCCGCTTTTTCTGTTTCAACGTCGTTGTTATCCAGAATAGAGCACTCCAGTCAGCCCCACAATGCCGGTCTAGCAGCTGATAAAACCAGCGATATCTTCGCACTGTTTTGACGCTTTTCACTATGCTTTTAGCATATGTACAATAGCTTTTGTGGTGTATGTACAATAGCTGTCGTCGGTGCGACGGGTATACAAGTTAAAGGTAGTGTGCAACCTACCAGCCACACGCAACAAGGTAGTGAGGATAATAAAGGGGCATTCTGGTCTACGACAACAGAGACAGAGAGAGTAAAGAAGAGAGAGTAAGTGAACAAGTAAGTATATAGAGTAGTAAGGTGTGTCGACATTAACAGCTCAGGCACCAGGCCTTACGTCTCGGGGGAGGTTTTAGCAAATCGTCCAAACTAAACGTTCGGGCGGTGGCCGGCACGTAGCCGCTGGCGTGTGGACTGGTCAGGCTGAGGATGGATGGCTTGCGGATACCGAGGCGGCCGAATAGAGAACGGGGCGCCGTCGGACCTGGGCTGGGGGTCACCGTCACCGAAGCCGCCCCTGACGCCACGGCGAGCTGTTCACGAACGGACGAACTTCGCAGTGATGATACTGAAACATGCGAGACACATCAGTACTAAAGGGCAGTCTGTGATTGGTCCTGCATGGGTGTTAAAAGAAATGTATGTAGGTGGTTTCAGTGAAACGCTATACGCACGAAACTGTCATTATTATTTATTTTTTGACTATTGTAATTTTCTTATCTTGTGTTTTAGCGAGTTTTTGTCGCCAAGACAGTGGTATATTGGAAAGATAGCATAAGTTTTAAAATGGTAGATTCTGGATTTCGTAGTCAACAAAATGCACTTGAAGCGATTGGTATACACATAACTGATAAAAAGGTAAACGTTATTGCCTCTAAATTATGCCTTTGATGAGTTTCTGTTTTTACTGAACTTTTTGAAAAACAATCCCGAATTAAGTCAATTATATCACACAATTAAAATGTGTTATAATTTAAAGTCACAGTATCTAGATTTGCAATTTTTTAAAACAGCATAATAAAGCTTGAAAGGTAATGTTTCTCAAGTTTTTTTAGCGAATTTCTTGAATCTACAAAGGTCAGAATGTGGAAAATATACCCAATCGTCTCCTTTTCGCAAAATAAGTTTATTCAGCATATCGCAATTGCAAAAGACGATCGGAATGGTTAAACAAGTGGAAATATACTTCAGAACTCATAAAATACAACAAAAATAAGATTTTTCGCTAAAATTTGACGGTTTTCACAGTATTTTCGGGTCTGTAAGGTGCCGGAAGCACTAGAAAGCATAAGAAAAAGTTTGAAAACTAACATTTCTGAACTTTTTTAACGAATTTTTGGAATTTACAAACGTCAGAATATGGAAAATGTACTCAAACGTCTCCTTTTCGCAAAACAAGTGTAATTATACACATCCTAAGTGCGTCATTACGATCAGAATCGTCAAAACAAGTCGAAATATATTTAAAAACTTATAAAATTTGAAGTTTTCCTTGGTATTTTCGGGCCCATTGGGTGCCAAAACGCTAGAGAATACTGGAAGAACCTCAAAAAATTCGACAAAAGTAAGATTTCTAACTAAAATTTGATGGTTTTCTTGGTATTTTCGGGCCAGTTGGGTGCCGGAAAAGCTAGAAATTACAAAGAAAATCTTGAAGGGCAAAATTGCTGATTTTTTTTAACAAATTCTTTGAATCTACGAATGCCAAAATGTGGAAAATATACCCAAACGTCTCCTTTTCGCAAAATAAGTGTAATTATACACATCCTAAGTGCGTCGTAACGATCAGGATCCTCAAAACAACTCGAAATATACTTAAAAACTCATCAAATTACAAAAATAAGAATTCTAGCGAAAATTTGATGGTTTCCTAGATATTTTCGGGCCAGCGGGGTACCGGAAACACTAGAAAATACAAGAAAGATCTTGAAAACCAACATTTCCAAAGTTTTTTTGACGAATTTCTGGCATGTACAAACGCCAGAATGTAGAAAATATACCCAATTGTCTCCTTTTTGCAAAATATTTAAGTCAATTATGCACATCGTAAGTTATGACGATCAGAATAGTCAAAACAAGTGGAAATATTTTTAAAAACTTATAAAATTTGATGGTTTCCTTGGTATTTTCAGGCCCGTTGGATGCCAAAATGCTAGAAAATAGTGGAAACATTTTTAAAAGTAACATTTCTGAAATTTTTTAAAGAATTTCTTGAATCTGTTAACACTCGATTGTGGAAAATATATCCAATGGTCTCCAAGTGTATCATGACGATCAGAATCATTAAAACAAGTCTAAATATACTTCAGAACTCATAAAATTCGACAAAAATAAGATTTCTAGCTAAAATTTGGCGGGTTCTTTGGCATTTTCGGGCCCGTATAAGTTAAGTATCACTTAATTTAACATCGTAGATTTCAACTTTTATTTTGTAAACGTTGCAGAAGCAGGTTCCACATGATCGAAAAAAAATGTCTTCTAATCAGCCATGGAATTAACTTTTTAAAAAACTCTGGTGGCAGTACAACGAAATTATCTGTCACTTTGACATTTGTATTGTACGTATAATAAAAACTGCTTGATTCAGAACAAAACATTTTTATTACCCAAAATTATTACCAGAATGGAGCGAAACAATAAAACGGGTAAGGGTCTTACTCTATAACAAAATGCGTAGAAAAATTTCGCGGGTAATTGATACATAACCTCAAAAACAAACATGTGGCACTGCAAATTTTTCCGACATATATCTTTTTAAAATTAATTCCACAGCCGGCTAGACAGCGTTCTTTTTCGGTCATCTGGTACCACATGATCAGAAATGACGGAGTCTGTTGGCAATCCTGGAGTTTTGTGACACTTTCTATAATTTCTGGTATTCAAGATTGACAGATTGTTGATATTTTTAAATTTTCAAGATATAAAAACACAACCTAAATTTATTGCATGTCATGCAGAATTATTTCTGTTATACTAACATAACTGTAAGAAAAGTTCACATTTTTATATAAAAAGTATTGCCAACTCAATCAGTTCTGATGACGCGGTATTAGAAGCACAAACTAATGAGAACCAATTGATATATAAGTACAAAAATTCTACAAAATTGATGATGAAACATGTGAAAAATCATTCTCACAGAAGGGAAAACAGACATTTGACGCCACATAAAATTTCGTCCATCTAACAGTAAACATAAATAACAAAATGAAGAGAGCAGAGAAATTAACAATCGGGTAAAGAAACATAGCAGAAACGCTGGAGGAAAAATGGGGACAAAATGTGCAGAAAAAACAAACAAAGAAATCATGGAACTGTACAACAACCTTTCAATAGCTAAGGTACATCGAAAGTTCCCAGAAACCAGAGTGATGAAAGAAAATATTAAAAGAAGAAGCATTACGAAACAACGAAGAGGAACATAACATCCACAAAAATTTTTGCCCGAGGCACCCTGATGAGTTCTTATAACATTTTTTTTTAACATATTGACACAACTCTTCTATAGCGCTTCACTGAAACCCTTTCCGTTTTATCACTGTTATCATCATTATTATTGTTAGTGAATAAACAAATCTTTTCGTACTCGTGCTCCTGTTCCTGTCGTTGTCCTCGTTCAGCAGCTTCTCGATCTTCTCGGGGAAGTGCCTCTTCGCGCACCACACCAGCCCTATGACTGCCATCACCACGAACACCGTCATCAGCCCCAGCCAGAAGGGCTCGTGGAACATCCTCTCACTCAGCGGCTTGTAGGGTATGTGCTGCATCTTTTTCTCGCACCTGGGGCCCTCCCACCAGGCGTGACAGCGGCACTGGAAGCCGTCGCCGCGTTCGATGCAGACTCCACGACTCTCGCAGGGGTTGCCCTCGCAGGGTTTCCTCTTCTGTTCGCACGTGGGGCCAATGTATCCGGTCTTGCAGTGGCACTTGTAGCTGGAGTTGGTGAGCTCGCACGTTCCGAAGACGCAGGGTTGGAGTTCGCATTTGGTGAGGGCGCACAGAAGGCCTAAAAGAGGAGATTTGATCGGTTAGATAGACTTAATTGAAGATTAGGGATTAAATGGAAACGGGAGAGGAAATATAATAATTAGTCTTTTAGGTCTTAGGGAGTATTTTAGACGCTCGGGTTTAATGAAAATATTGATTGTGGAAGGGAACAATAGTGGCGTGGAGGCGGGGGGCGGGAATACGGAAAGACGTGGAAATGGTGGGAATGTTAACGTGAAAATTGTTATAATTAAACAAATGAAGAAAATTGGTGTGTCCCTGGGATTTAGATCGAACGAGGTACAATTCGGCAGCAGAACGTTTTTACGTGATTTTAGACAAAACTTTACCTGTGAAATGTCCAATACACTGGCAAAAGCTGCGATTTTCTTTCGTCATGCACTTCCCTCCGTTCTGACACGGATTCGGCTCGCAAGCCTCCACTTCTCCGTCCTTGTGTCTCAACAGCTTCGCCTTAAACAGCACATCCTCCTGAACCCTCAGACTCCCATTCAGCGAAATCCCCACGGCCCCACTTCTCTGCCTCAGATGCAGCGTGTTAAGAAACGAAGTGATCGATATCGGGGTCACCGGAAGCACCGCCTCCTCGCTGCTGGCGTCATAACACATCCTCCAGGTAGTACCGTTAGTGTCGTAATAATTGTCGTAAACTTCTATCACGCCGTTTCCGTCGAGACACTCGGTATCGCTGAGCTTGACGTGGAAGAGCTCCAAAGAAATGACGCATCCCAGAGGTGCGATAAAATGCTGTAGAAAATTAACGTTAAGTGGAGGAGTGTCGGGGTAATTGAGGTGAAGAAGTGCCCCGGACGAGTTGTGCTTTAGGTTGATGAATTTCTCTTCGCTCGCTGTTGTGATGATTTTGTAGATAGCGCGGAATCCTTTACCGGAGGGCTGGTCGCCGGTTCGGAAACTGATCTTCAGACGCTCTTCGGTTGAAAGGAAACTGCCTTCGGTGAGGAGATTTTCCGTCTCGAAGGGTCTGAAAGGGGCGGTTTCTTTGCCGAGGCGCAGCTCGAGGACGGCCGTGTCGGTTAGTTTGATGCTGGAGTCTGAAAATTAGGTATTTGGGTTAAAATTCGGAGAGAGAAAATTTTTACTTGGCTTTAGTTCCAAAACTATTCCTAAATGAGCTTAAATAATTGAACTTTATGTGCATGCTGTTGACTTTGTGTAAAATATTGTGCAACTATTTTTTTAATCCTTTACAAATTATGCAGACTTACAAAGTTAAGTTTGTTAAGGGACAACATGAAACTGACACGTGGAACGAGCGATGAAAATTATGGTTGCTTTTTGGATGATACGATATTTTTCTGCAAGTTTTCTTAGAAAGTTTAATTGTTTCATGGATACAGCAACATTATTTAGAAAAAGTAATATAAGAAAATTTATAAATTTTGTGCACTGAGTTCATTAAATGTAATGAAAATCTTAAAGGTGCATTATTCGGGTAAACTTTTTTAGAAAAAAAAAATGAAAAAGAAGTTATTACAGCAGTGTAAAATTTTTACCTGTTTGGTTATTGTCGTACAAGTTCTTCCCATGTGTGTTGTGTGAGATCTCTAAAATTTAAAAATAGTGTACTTAAAAACTAAATGTTTGACAAAGAACTCTCTTGGGCTTCGGTTAATTTGAGATTGTCTAACAATAAAGACAATATATTTTGTCGAGAACTTTTAAGGTTATTTTGTGTAGGTGGAAAGAAAAAAATTATTGAAGATTCGATAATAATTTTGTTTCTACTTTGTAGGCCTTACATGTATAGGCCATCCACGAAAATAGTTGTTTTACGACTTTGACTCCTTCGTTGCTCTTGTCAACTTTTAGATGTAAATGTACTTAGGTAGTGGTTCTTTGTCATGTTTGCCCCGCACGCCTTTCCTACGCAGGCTTATCTACTTAGAGGTGTTTCAAAAAGTCAAAATTTTAATGTCACTATTTTCGTGGATGGCCTATAAGCTAATTTTAATAATTGCTTTGTCTTAAATTCATACATTAGTCTTTTGAGTAGTTTAGTCGAATCGTTCAAAAAGGTTAATCCTCGGCCAAAATTTCCTCGAAATTAGGAATCTCAGCTTATTTTCGCTACATTTTTTTTCAAATAACTACAAAAAATCCGTTTTTATGTAAAAAATAGTTTGAAAGAAATATACTTTCATCCTTATTGTCACGGCGCTTTTACCATTTTCAGAAAATGGATCATTTTCCGTATTTTTTTTCGGACTACGAATCTGTGTATACTTTATTCGTATAGTAGAAGAAGAACAAACAGAATCAAAGACAGCCATGGAATTTTTAAAGATTTGTCTTTGATAGACTTTTGGTCTTGTCACATTATCTCCAATATTTTTAACTCGGCGCCCAACGATTTTTATATACAAATTTACAGTTGCTTAAATGACCCAAAAGTGGATTGTTTTTTAAGAATTTTTTTTAGTATCACGGATCCATTTGTATCTTATAACGGTCAAAATCACTTGTCATTGCGAAACAATAAACATCGTCAAATCTGTTTAGACAAGCGTAATTTTTGTTGGTTGAAATGTGTATTTGATTTGATTATATTATTTAAAGAAAAGTATGTTTCCTTCTAAGTTATATATTTTTTTATTTAACCGGCAATTAATATTTTCAAAATTTATTTTCATCCCGGCACCTCCACCATTTGTAACTAAAATTATTAATTATAATACGATTTTTAAAAGTTTGAGTATTATTAAACATACGTAAAATAGATGAGATAAACAAAAAAAGGGACAAAATTTGTAATGTTCTTTACGACAAATTTTTATAGCTAATTTAAAATTCGTCAAAATAAAGAGGGGCGGGTGGGCGGGGCTAATTTTATTAGCATGACAGTAACATGATCCACATATTTTTTTGAACCAAACAAATCAGTTATCAAAAAGCATGGACGGGCGGGTGGGGCTAATTTTAACTATTATACATAAGGTATTATGTTGTTTGTTCTTGGTAATATGTTGTTATTCTTTAGACCTGTTTAAAAAGGATGTCGTTGTGGAACTTATTTTAGCAAATTATTATTAAATTATTAATGACTAATTAGTTCATTAAAACATATCAGAATTACCAAGTTAATTCTTCAAACTTTTTTTCAGAAATTTTATATTTTCAAAAGTTTGCTGCAGGGATTTTCTAACCATTTTTTAAGTTCTTTAGAGCCTTCATAACAACGTACCATCTAGCTTTCCGTCATTTTCGGAACACCCGGTATTGTTATTCATAAAAAGTAAACAGAATCAAATTTTGCAAATTTATTTAAGAACCTGTCCTCAATTTAAATTTTTGGTAAGACCTTTTAACTCACATTGCTTTAGTGTTTCTGGTATCATCCCAAAAAAATATTACAATACATGTTAAAAAAACGATGTTTTAAAATTCAATGTTTCATATACCGAGAGCAATGATCAAAATCAGCCATTTTCTTTTTGAAAATTTTTCTTTGGTAGAATTTTCGCCTTTATTATTGTCAATTTTAAAGAATGAGTTCAAAATTATCATAAATCCATGACTGTCTTTGATCGTGTTGTTTATTACTGTCGTGGTACATTAGTGATGTGCTTTCAGTTTTTGATTACAGAGTATATTAGCCCCGCCCACTCACCACTTCTCTTATTTAAACACCAAATTTATCTACTCCGAGAGAAATAATGGCTTTTCTATTGGCAAATAGTGGAATCTATATTTAAAAAAATAGTTAGCTCCAGCCACCCGCCCCTTCTCTATTTCAAGGGCTTATATCATTTCCCTTCACTTTATTTTGGCAAATACAAGGATAAAAAAAATACATAAAATTAACCCCGCCCACCCACCCCTCCCTTTTTAAAAACCAAATTCATTTGCTTTAAAATGAAGAGTGGATTTTATACTGGCAAACAGCAGAAATTTTACAAAAGTTTAAGTTAGCACCACCCGCCAGCTGTTTTTCCATTTCAAGGATTCACTTGATTTCCTGTTCGATGAAAGGCGGATTTTAAAATTACTTAGCTCCGCCCATTCGCTATTTTTGTTTGTTTCAATGTCTGATTTCCTTCACTTGGAGAAAAACGGGGTGGAACTTAAGATCATCAAAATTTAAAACTATCCCCACCCATCTGTCATTTCTCCATTTTTTTTATGTTTTATTGCCTATAAGATAAACACTAAACTTAGCCCCGCCTACTTCGATTTCTCTTTTTTTAATGAAAGATTTTATAGGCTTTAATATAAAAGGCAGATCTTAAATTGGTCAAAATTCTGTAATCAGAGAATCAGTTAGTGCCTCACCAAAATTACAATATGTAAGACAAACTGTAAACTTTTAATTTTACGATGACGGTATACATTTTTGAAAAGGACAGGTGAGAAATTTTCATTACAGTAGCAAACAGTAACATTAATCTGGATTCTTAATTAGTAAATTAACTGATGCAAACTGGTGATAGACTTCTTCATGTGATCATGTGTTTGGCGATTGTACTGCATGTATTTACTGCGGATTGTTTGCTATACACTTTAAAGATTAAGTAAGTAGATACTTGACTTTGACTCATATAATATAATAACGGAAAAATAACGACAATCCTTGTGTATCTGCCATTTTTTCAGTATATACAGGGTTGTGATAAAATAATGCACAAAATTCATAAAAAGCGCAGCATTTGCTTTTGAAAAAAATGCAAAAACATGTCAAGCTTTTTATTTTACTCTCCATCTTTTGAAATATGTGAAAAAATTTTACGTCAAATTTGTAAAAGTTATCAATGATTTTTTTTAGAGGAAGGTATAATTTTTGATTGCATTCACTATCTGACACAAACCCAGACGATGATAGACCTGATTGACGGAATTTTCAATATTCTGGGGACTTATACGAGTCATTTCTATTCATGTAAACACGACTTTTTAAATGCCCCCATAAAAAGAATCAAGGGGTGTCAAATCTGGAGACCTAGGTGGACATTCTATTGGTCCACTCCTTCCAATCCACCTTCCATCAAATTGATTATCCAAAAAAAAACCCTTACCTTCACGCCATAATGTGGTGGTGCCCCTTCCTATTGGAACCAAATCTTGCGATTATCAGGAAACGTAGCAATTAAAGCACTACGGTTCTAAGATGATCTAAATATGGATCTGCTGTTAAATTTCCGTGAAAAAAGTATGGGCTTTTTATGAATTTTGTGCATTACTTTATCATAACTCTGTATATTTGATTTGGTAACTTGTGATCCATAATTCTTAAGATTAGAGAAGGCTGTGGAACTACTATTTTGTATTTCTTTGATTAAACCGGTAAGCCTTACAAATGTCATGGTCGAAAAATCAAAGACGTTAAAATCAAAATGGAAAGTCACAAATCAACTGATTTAATGTTGGAATTTAAGATGAACTTTTTGCCACCATGAAATCGTTCGTCGCAATTTTCGGTCCTTTGTTTGAATTTTGACGCGAAAGTTTAATCAAAGAAATGAAAAATATTTCCATAACGTACCCTAAGCTGAAAACTTTTTAATCACCCGTCATATAGATCTGAATGAAATGCAATCAGAATTTGTTATTAAAATATTCTTCAAAAACTAAAACGTTTTAAATTCACGATCCTGTTGACCAACAATTCTTTTTCAATTCCAAAAATTAACAAAGAAAAATCCCAAAATTGTGCAATAGTTACCCTGCAGGAACGTCTTCTCCACATCGTAATCCTCAAACTCCAACCACACTCTCTTCCCCACGGGCGCCAGCACCGTCAGCGCGCAATCCAGTCGCCCCAATATGAAATCCGGATAATTGGGGCTCTTCAACACCCCCTCCTTCGCCGTGAGCGTCTTCTGGTTGCACGACGACACGTCCACCGCGTGCCAACCCAACGAGAACCCGCTGCCGGAAATCGAGTAGTCCGAATGAAACCTCAGCTCGATCTCGTTGCCCTCGGCGACGAAGTTGAACCGGTGCATGTCCGTGTCGTGCACCCCGCAGAACTTGACGGCGTCGCCGCCCTGCGGCCCGCTGCTCAGCTCTACGTAGTCGTAGAGGCACTCCAGCTGGGCCTCGATGTCGATCTTCTGGAACTTGACCACCAGACGGGTGCGGTCCGGACCGAGGATGCGCACGGAGAAGTCCAGGTGGTTGTAGTAGTTCTCGGGGTAACGGGGCGTGGTGAGCGTGCCGTCGCTGCCGTTCACGGTCTTGTTGAAGTTGACGCCGATGCCGGAGAGCTGGTGGCTGGGCTTCTTGCAGACGTAGCCGCCGTGGCTGTTGCAGCGGTAGGACTTCCAATAGAGGCCGCTGGGGAGCATCGGAGTGGGGCTGGGGGTCCACTGGATGCTGAGACACCTGGAAATAATGTGTGGTTTGGTGATGAGGTTTTGTGTAATATTTTGATCGATGAAGAATTTTCGCCGGGGGATGGGCGAGGAAGGTTATATGAAATGTCTGTGGAGGGCGAGGTGAATAGGGGAAGAGGAGCGCGGATATTAAATTGATGTAATTGTTGTTCGGAAAATAAATAATGCATTATTTGATATACATTTTTTAACATTTATATGAGAATTCTCGGATGTGGTTCTAGTGAGGTCGCTATAAATTTCTTTAGGTCTCAGGTTGTATTCTAACCACGAAAAATATTTGAAAAATACTGACTGAATTGGAAAATAACATCTCTCTAAGAAAACAAAGGGCGGGTGGGGCTAGTACTTGCTAAGATAAGACTGATTTTGGCAAATGATATACCGTCTAAGAAAATAAAGGGTGGGGGGTGGGGCTCGTATTTCCTAAGATGAGACTGATTTTGGCAAATGACATACCGTCTAAGAAAATAGTCGACGTGTGGGCGGGGCTAGTACTTCCTAAGATATGACTGATTTTGGCAAATGATATAGCCCTAAGAAAATAGTGGGTGGGTGGGCGGGGCTAATACTTCCTAAGATACGACTGATTTTGGCAAATCACATATCCTCTCTGAAAATAAAGGGCGGGTGGGGCTAATACTTGCTAAGATACGACTGATTTTGGCAAGTGATATACTCTTTAAGAAAATAGAGGGCGGGTGGGCGGGGCTAGTACTTGCTAAGATAAGACTGTTCTTGGCAAATGACATACTCTTTAAGAAAATAATAGACGTGTGGGCGGGGCTAGTCTAAGATATGACTGATTTTGGCACATGATATAGCCCTAAGAAAATAGTGGGTGGGTGGGCGGGGCTAATACTTCCTAAGATACGACTGATTTTGGCAAATCACATATCCTCTATGAAAATAAAGGGCGGGTTGGACTAGTACTTGCTAAGATAAGACTGATTTTGGCAAATGATATAGCCTTAAGAAAATAGTGGGTGGGTGGGCGGGGCTAATAGTTCCTAATATACGACTGATTTTGGCATATCACATATCCTCTATGAAAATAAAGGGCGGGTGGGGCTAGTATTTGCTAAGATAAGACTGATTTTGGGAAATAATAATAATAATAATATATATATTTTTCCAACAGATATATACGTCTACAGTGGAAACACAAGGCACTAATACATAACAAAATAAAATAAAATAAAATAAAATAAATACAAATAAAAGAAAACATAAACTAAAGAAAAAATGTGAAAGTCTAGAAATCGAAAAATCTCAAGTTTCAAAAATCGCGAAAATTGAAAAATGAGGAAAATTGAAGAATTAACAAACTCAAAAATTAAAAAATCGAAATATCGAAAAATTCAAAAGTGCAAACATCGGGAAATTGAAAAATCAAAACATTGAGAAATCGAGAAACGGAAAAGTCGAGTAGTCGAAAAATTGAAAATTCAAAAATCTAAAAAAAAAAAAACAAAAATCGAGAAATCGAAAATTCAAAATTTAAAAAATCGGAAAATTGAAGAATAAAAAAACTGAAAAATCGAAAGATCGAAAGATCGAAAAGCCGAAAAATCGGAAAACCGAGATATGCCATTTCGATTTCTTTTTGTTGTTCTTTCTTCTTCTTGTGATTTTCCCATTTCTCGATTGCTCGACTTTTCGATGTGTCGATTTTTTGATTTTTAAGATTTTCGATATTTCGACTCTTCGATTTTCAATTGAACAATCGAATTATCGAAAAGCCGAAAAATCGGAAAAGCGAGGAATCGAAAAATCGAAACATCTAAGTATTCAAAAACGGAAACATCAGGAAACTGAAAAATGGAAAAGTCGGGAAGTCGAAAAATTGAGAAATCGAAATAGACCAAAATCGAAAAGTCAAAAATTGAAAAATTGAAAAATCAATTTCTGGAATTATCGAGATTTGGATGATTCGATTTTTCGACTGTGTGGAAACACAAGGCACTAATACATAACAAAATAAAATAAAATAAAATAAATACAAATAAAAGAAAACATAAACGAAAGAAAATTTGTATCATAATTAGGAATAATATGCCAGAATTGTTTGTTTTACACTTTTGTTATTAAGCTTGACATGAAATATATCTAAGTTAACACCAAGACAATTGTATAGCCTAAAACATATTAAGAGCGGACAGTTATAGTGATGGAAAGTGTTAGGTACATTATAATAAAAAGTTATTGGTACTCTACAACTTAGTCATGAAGATCGAGAAATCGAAAAATCTAAAATTTCAAAAATCGCGAAAATTGAAAAATCGAAACGTCGAAAAATTATAAAATCGAAAAATCTGAAAACCGAGAAATCGAAACTTCGAAGTATTCAAAAACGGAAACATCGGGAAATTGAAAAATCAAAACATCGAGAAATGGAAAAGTCGAGAAGTCGAAAAATTGAAAAATTGAAAAATTTAAAAAAAAATGAAAAATCGAGAAATTGAAAATTCAAAATTTAAAAAAATCACGAAAATTTAAGAATCAAAAACTCAAAAATTGATAAATAAGAAAATTGAATAATCAACAAAAACCAAAAAATTGAAAAATCGAAACATCGAAAAATTAGAAAATCGAAAAGCTGAAAAATCGGAAAACCGATATATGCCATTTCGATTTTTCTTCTTCTTTCTTTTCCTTCTTCTTCTTTCTTTTTCTTCTTCTTCGTGTGATTTTTCCCATTTCTCGATTTCTCGACTTCAATGTTTCGATTTTTTTTTATTTTTAAAATTTTCGACTTTTCGATTTTCAATTTTTTTTGGAGATAGAAAAATCGAAACATCAAAAATCCGAGAAATCTATAATTTGAAATTTCCAAACTGAAAAATCGAAGAACTGAAAAATCGAAACATGGAAAATTTGAAAAATCGAGAAATCGCAAATTCAAAATTTTAAAAATTGCGAAAATTGAAGAATCAAATAACTCAAAAATCGAAAATTTGAAAAATCGAAATATCGAAAAATTGTAAAATCGAAAGCCGAAAATTTTATGATTTTCCCATTTCTCGTTTTTTGACTTTTCGATTTTTAGATTTTTAAATTTTCTGTTTGTCCACTTTTCGATTTTCATTTTTTTTTGGAAAGAGAAAAATCGAAAGATCGAAAACCTGAAAAATCTAAGATTTGAAATTTCCAAAAACTGAAAAATCGAAGAACTGAAAAATCGGAAAACCGAAAAATCGAAACATCGAAATATTCAAAAACGGAAACATCGGGAAATTGAAAAATCAAAACATTGAAAAATCGAGTGACGGAAAAATTGACAAGTCGAAAAATTAAAAAATTTAAAAATCTAAAAACAAAATCGAGAAATCGAAAATTCAAAATTTAAAAAATCGAGAAAATTTAAAAATCAAAAAACTCAAAAATTGAAAAATCGAAAAATCGGAAAACCGAGGCAGTGACATTTCGATTTCTTCTTCTTTTGATTTTCCCATTTCTGATTTTTGATTTTTAAAATTTTCAATTTTTCGACTTTTCGATTTTCATTTTTTTTGGAAACAGAAAAACTGAAACATCAAAAACCTAAAAAATCTAAGATTTGAAATTTCCAAAAACTGAAAAATGTGAAAGTCTAGAAATCGAAAAATCTCAAGTTTCAAAAATCGCGAAAATTGAAAAATGAGGAAAATTGAAGAATCAACAAACTCAAAAATTAAAAAATCGAAATATCGAAAAATTCAAAAGTGCAAACATCGGGAAATTGAAAAATCAAAACATTGAGAAATCGAGAAACGGAAAAGTCGAGTAGTCGAAAAATTGAAAATTCAAAAATCTAAAAAAAAAAAAACAAAAATCGAGAAATCGAAAATTCAAAATTTAAAAAATCGGAAAATTGAAGAATAAAAAAACTGAAAAATCGAAAGATCGAAAGATCGAAAAGCCGAAAAATCGGAAAACCGAGATATGCCATTTCGATTTCTTTTTGTTGTTCTTTCTTCTTCTTGTGATTTTCCCATTTCTCGATTGCTCGACTTTTCGATGTGTCGATTTTTTGATTTTTAAGATTTTCGATATTTCGACTCTTCGATTTTCAATTGAACAATTATAATCGAATTATCGAAAAGCCGAAAAATCGGAAAAGCGAGGAATCGAAAAATCGAAACATCTAAGTATTCAAAAACGGAAACATCAGGAAACTGAAAAATGGAAAAGTCGGGAAGTCGAAAAATTGAGAAATCGAAATAGACCAAAATCGAAAAGTCAAAAATTGAAAAATTGAAAAATCAATTTCTGGAATTATCGAGATTTGGATGATTCGATTTTTCGACTGTGTGGAAACACAAGGCACTAATACATAACAAAATAAAATAAAATAAAATAAATACAAATAAAAGAAAACATAAACGAAAGAAAATTTGTATCATAATTAGGAATAATATGCCAGAATTGTTTGTTTTACACTTTTGTTATTAAGCTTGACATGAAATATATCTAAGTTAACACCAAGACAATTGTATAGCCTAAAACATATTAAGAGCGGACAGTTATAGTGATGGAAAGTGTTAGGTACATTATAATAAAAAGTTATTGGTACTCTACAACTTAGTCGTGGAACATAAAATTGTACCTCAGTTAATAAATTAGCATGCTCCCTAAGAAAATAGTGGCTGGGTGGGCGGGGCTAATACTTCCTAAGATACGACTGATTTTGGCAAATCACATATCCTCTCTGAAAATAAAGGGCGGGTGGGGCTAATACTTGCTAAGATACGACTGATTTTGGCAAGTGATATACTCTTTAAGAAAATAGAGGGCGGGTGGGCGGGGCTAGTACTTGCTAAGATAAGACTGATTTTGGCAAATGATATACCCTCTAAGAAAATAAAGGGCGGGGGGTGGGGCTAGTACTTGTTAAGATAAGACTGATTTTGGCAAATAATTGGTGTACCTTCTAACAAGTAAATATTTCTAACAGATAGGGGTGAGAACTTTTTTGGTTTTCATTTTGTTTTATTTTTTAAAACTCCAACTAAAATTTGTCTAATCAATAATCATCTGCACCAACAATTTGATGACGTCAACATACTGCTTAGTAAATATTATTTAAATTCTATAAAATTACTAACTCTTTTACTTGTGGTTTATGGATCTGCTTTGATTCTTTCTAAGTAACGTTAGACCAGTTTTTCTAGCAGGCGCATCTTTTTTTGGGCCCAGAAAAATTGTAGGTCAGTCTTAAAATGTAAATCTCTTTTCTATTGAGTTTTTTTAACTTTTTTTTAAATCGTGGTCAAAATTATAATAAATCTTCGAGTTTCTTCTCAAAAAAATCAATATTTGGGATCAAGAAACTTAAATGATAGGTGCAATTGTCTCTACAATTAAATCACCTTCTTTCAAGATTTTAAAATGGTTTGCCAACATTTTTAATAGCATTGCTTTCAGGTAACCTCATTTTCCAGCCAACAATGTATCAAATCTATTAATCAAGTCAAGGAAGTTGTTCTACAAAACGTCTGTCAAATTTTAACACGAATAGAAGAGGAATAACAAAAACTTTATGATAATTTGTGTAAAATTCATGTATAAATTTCATTAGAAATCGGTAGATTTTTGATAACTGACAAGACCACCGCGAATTCTTCCATATAAAATGCATTGCTTAAGTGTTTAGAACGCTGCCAAGTCAAAGCGGAACGCACAATAGATAATTTAGAGCACACAGTCTGGTTTTAACAGATAAAAATAACATACATATTTGTTACCAATTTTGTAAATAATACTCCTCTTTTCAATCATCGTAATTAAATAACAGGTTGTTTATATTGTAACCAATTGCTGTTTATGTCATCAACAAACTAAATGAAATGTCGGATAACGGAAATATTATCCACGGAAAATTTTCATAGTTAATGCCAAAGCTCAAGCAAGACATTGCCCCAAATTTTTACAATGTCCTCGCCCGTACGGGATTTGCAATAAACAAAAAAAATTCTCCGCATTCGGCCAAGAATTTTTCATCTAGACCTATCCTCACCTGACATTTTCCGAGTTTTTGGCGATTTCACCGTCCGGGGGTTTCTGCCCAGGAAGCCATCCCATGTAATCCATGGAATTTCCATCGATCCACTTAAAATCAGAATGTGGTTCGGACCTCCCGCCGAGCCAGTAAAGAGCGCTAGTTCGGTATTCGACAGACTTTCGGATATTCGTTGTGATGAAACGCTCTTCTTCCGGGCTCAGGACCGACGCTAATTGACTTTTTTTGCCTCTGCATATTTCCTGGGCCGTCGGCCACGTCACTTCGGGGTAGCTCACGAAGAGGTAGCAGGAGTTGTTGAACATCTGAAGACGATCGTCCGAGCAATGGGATGCTTGAAATAAAAAATCTACTGTCAGTTTTAACGAGTTTTCGAAGGAAAAGAAACCGAAGTGCGTGCGCTGGAACCGGCGAATCAAAGTTTCAGCTCACGCAATAATATTCCGGCTGGGATACACCATCAATAACGCACGGAGTGAGCATAAAAAAGCAATTTTACAACAAGTCGCATTCTTAGCGTAAATGATACATCTTGATTTGAGGTTAGGCGGAAGTACGCGTCTTTAATATGGAACTAATCACGTAGAATTCCAAACAGGTCCCTATCTGGCGTAAAATAAATATAAATTATATTATAACAGTGTTACGAAGTTTCTGCAGGACCTTATAGCAAAAAACATATAGGCAAGTTAGAATTGACTCTGGATTTTTTGTATCCTAGTTCAATTATTGGACAGAACTTCCCTCGTTTTTGAAGTAGGTATAGGCAAACATCCAGTTTATTAGATAACAAATATACATATACCTAATACCCGTCACAAAGTAAAAAAAAAGTGAAGGAATCGAGTTTTATTACTTTATTTTTTCTGTAAAAACTCGAAGCGGATTCATGAACCGCAAGTACACATATATGAGATTTTTTTCCATCTGCCCGATATTTAAAAAGAAGTTATTACATTTGATAAGAATCGATCCCGTAATTCCGGTGATCATCTGTCGAATAAACATCGATACAGTCGACATGAAACATCGAAAAAACATGAAGGTAGCCATTCGCCGGCTAGGATATTTAAAAATTCTCAACTTCGCAATATTTAAAGATGGGGATATATAAAAATTGATGACTGTAAATATTATATTTCTTGAACATATGTATATTCTGATTACACAATGATTGCTGATGACACTGTGATTGTAAACAAATAATTTTTTTAATGATAAGATAAGATAAAGTGTGCAGAGAAAAAAAATTGTCAGGTGTGGGGTTCGAACCCACGCTCTCTTTCGAGAACCAGAGCTTAAATCTGGCGCCTTAGACCGCTCGGCCAACCTGACTATACGTAAAGCCTAGATTTGAAGGCTCAAAAACCAATACATTCAAAAGCGATAAGAACTTTGATTAGATAGTGAGTATGTTTCAGTGATAAGAAAACACAAACACATACTTCTTCCATGACGTTGGTAATATTCCAACTAAGTGTTTATCAATAATCACTTAACAGCACAAGTGAAAGAAAGATAGAAAATGAGAGATATAAAGAGACAACTCATACATAATTAAGTTAGGTTTTTACAATTTAAGACCCAAAATGATTCTTATACAGAGTGTTCAAAAAATGGTGCACAAACTCACCAATGTAATGTCTTAAAATGAAGAAATCTAAGAATAAAGACATGGTGTCTCCAGAATTAAAATGTCGTGAAATTTCGAAATTTGAACAACTTCTGATTTTTAAATTGTTTTTTCTGCATTTTATAAATGGTCCTGAACAACTTGTCATTGAGTTGGTGCGCCAGTTTTTGAACACCCTGTATATGCGTCTTCTTGGCATCAAAACAAGGGATAGACTATAAACCTGGAGTCAGATTAAATTTCTAGTTATATAGTTGACACACACAACTAACAGATGACAGACGTCAGACAACCGAAAACGGGGGACCTATTTTTACTATCTTTAGAGGTCATGGAACATGAAAAAACTATAACTCGTATTAGAATCCAGGATCTAGAACCCTAAATGCGTAAATATTAGAATACGTCAACGATCTTTTTCAATAATCCACGATAAATGCGTAACCCCCCACCACCAAACCGCTGAGACACCCTATATACGTCAATACACATGACGTTTGAAGCTTTTAACAAATTTTTAATACATTTTTTACTTAATCAGGTGTCGCGTTTTTCCGTGGTTTCTTCGAACTTTGACGTCAGTAAAGTTAATAAACGGAAAAATTATTTATAGCGTTGTGCCCCACAAAAACTCCCCACTGTGTACAGAAATACAGAGTTCAATTTCCATGTGTTTTTGTTGTACTTGGGTCTTTATCAAATTTTAATTATTGGTAACTAAAGTAAATGTTCTCCGTAGCAGAAAATAATTAATTAATTACCTACTAAGCTAGATCATTGCGGACAAGTAAATTTAACGTACTTTGCCCGAAAGTTAGTTATAATGCGGATGTGGAGGCACGGATTAGTTTGTTTATTTTCGAATTATATTCTGTTAAGTACCAACCTGTAGATAATTTTAAACATAAAGGAAGCTTGTAACAAGCCGAGTTCATTGGATGAGTTCGCACATTATGAGAGGAATTAAGAATTAACACCCCTGACTCGGGCAAAACCACCATAAAAGCAGAACGACTGCGTTAAAATGACAAAATTGTCGCCACGGAGAATATAAAATGTCGCAAGTATATAGTAGCGCTTTTATCGCACTTTTACAACATTTATTTATAATGTAGTAGCCAAAAGTGAAAAAAAAGACGATACAGCTTACTGGCCAAACTGAAACTATCGATTTTTCTACTTGATAAAAATTTTATTTGTAGACGCTGAAATATTTACGAGTCCGAGTAGCCGGAAAGCTTTCACGGTCCCTTGCACAATTTTGCTAATGCGGATCTGTATCGAACACTATTATAACGGAATTAATTGTCTGTTACACCCTTCCGATTAGTTTACCCACAGATTTACTACCTAGTAGAACTGGTTACTATTGGAATTTCACCGTGGGGAATATTATGGCGTGAATTTACTACAAATATCATAATCCAGATCAAGGCGTATTAGGCGATAAGGATTTTTGATAGTGTCGACTTCTAAACTGGTAATCACACGACATCTGAAGCCGGATTAGGGGTTGCTTATCGGTGTATAAATTTAGAAAATTGCTGGCTTGGCGGATCTTGAGATTGTAGTGTTGTTTACAAGCTGTGTAATGCGCAAATGTAAAAATCAATATGTATGAATGAAGAAAATGAATTCAACTACTGGTGTATCGAAATCATATTATAGTAAGGGTTTATTTTTAAAACAATATGTTCATGTCGTCTCGTTTCTTGATTCAAATACCTTCCTCCTGTGTAAATTACATTGCTAATTTCGAACTTTGGTAAATGGGAAGGAATTTAACCCTTTTCGTCAATCGGTTAAATAACCGAAATAATAACCTGCTTGAATCTGTCTATTGATGTTTCAATGAAACGGTCAACATTCCACGAGGAAATTAAGTTGTGGTGGATAAAAGCCATATAATTACTTTCCACGTTCCATTCGTTTAATCGGGATTTAAAACTGGTGCAAAAAGAAACGCAAAAATAGGGCTCATTCTACGTTGATTTATTTGCTTTAATAGATATCTGAAAAGGGAATATCACTTCACTCAACAATTCCATTAGTAATAATAGTAATAATTGTTTCCCAGGTAGAGTGGAAATAATATGAGAAGAACAGCTCGAATCATCACAATCTTTTACTTTTTACTTTTTTGCTTTAGAATCCAACCTTTCAAAGTTACGTTTCAACAAAGGAAGAAATTATAAGTACCTATGTAGTTTGTACATATTAAAAATCACCCTGTATTCTACTTACCGGTTACCGAATTCTCAAATAATAAGCAACTTTGGCTAGGGATGACTAGATACGCACACGGAGTGTATAAAAAACTCTTGGAGTTTTTATAATACATAATAATAACTTTAAATAAAAAACATAGTTTTTTCTTTCGGCGACAACTGTCAGCAACAAGTTCGTCCAGCTATTTGTATGCAAATTTCCAGTATTTTGAAGCACAACAAAAACTACATTAAGGCCAGTCCCCACGTTTGCCGCATGGGATTTTCAATACATATTCAAAATATAATATCTCCATTATTAATTTTAAATATGCCTTGTCCACAACTTTCTCTATGCATATATCGCACGGGCAGTTTTGTCAAAAAACAGTTTATCATTTTCTTTTTTAATTTCAGTAAAATTTTTGCATCACGTTTGAACTCGAGATCCCATTTATTTATGGAAATTTCGGAACGCGGTTTTCAACACCGTTTTCAGGTTACAAAACCATCGTACACATACATTGTCGACTTTTTTGTTGGAAATGAGATACGATAATAATAAACTCGATAATGTATTTGATACGATAGAATTTCATAACAATAGGTCTGACAATAACGAAGATGTTACATTTTGTTAAAATATATTGAAAATACTACGTGGCAAACGTGGGGATTGGCCTTAAGTATTTTTCAGCAAAACTGTAAACACTACAGTAGAAATTTCGATACGGACTGAGTTTTTGGGGTAATAAATTTGATCGGCGTTTTGCCATTTTCCTCATAATCCTAACGTATAGGTAATATTTCAAAGTTATTGATTCTGTAGGCTGGGAGATTATGCTGTAATAAAATTGTCAACAGACTAGAAATGTACGGAAAAAATTGAAAACGTTTATGTATGGAAACAATGTAAATTTATATGTACGTTATTTTTATAAATTTAGATTCTGTGGTGTAAACACAGGAAAACGATTTCAGATACAAGAGCTTTTTCCTTAGTAGTTTTTAAGATATTTGCATTTTATGGAAAAAAAGATTATATTTAAAATTCTAGGTCGCAGCATTTCTAAAATGGAGGTTTGGAATTTTGACAACACATTCTAGTTACTTTTGTATCGTTTTCTTAGGTTTTTTAAAGGGCAGATTACTTATTTTTATATACAGGATGGTTCTCTAAGCGCGTATCCTCGATATCTGATTAATTATTAGAAATAAAAAAAGTCATACAGGACCAAAAATGGCGCACTAACTCTATGACACGTTGTTAAGGACTGTTTATTACTGCATCTTCCTGTATTTTTTGTTCTTTTTTCAATATGTTGCTTAAAAAAGGAAAAAACACAATAATTAGCAACTTTAAAGATAGAAAATACTTAACAAAAGTGAAAGAGAACAAAAAAAACAGAATAAGATACAGTAATAATATATAGGGTGTTCTGTTTGAAAAGACTTAAATATCGATATTTCAACATAGTATTTTTTTTATAAACG